GTGTTAAGTGGTCGCACAAAAACTACACGCGCGGGGTTGCGACCAAACCCCGCGAACACTTTTTGTGACGAAGTGCCCAAACAAAAACAATGACGATTGCTCAATAGAAAGCAACATTTGCCAAACAAACAAACACCGGGGGACAGACGCAACCACAAACAACTGACCAACCCAGCACCAGGCAAGAAGCCCCATCACCCTGACACCCCTTGTCACAGAGTAACAACCAACAAAACCAACAAACAGCACCAAAGAAACGCCAAAAAACAACATGCACACAAAAAAGAAACATCAACAAGACCGATGACTTACTAGTAAGTTCAGCAACCAACAACAACAAAAGACAAATTTAGGCAAGGAACACAACCCCAGAAAAAGGCCGCTCTGACAAAAACGCGCAAAACAATGGCAACAAAATGCTCACAAAAGTGAAATTTGTACAAACCAAATTCTCCCAAAGCTTGCACACCGCCATCATGCCAGCCAAGGCCATTTTTGCCATCCTAAAGGATCATCCCCTTCCACCACCTGGAAACCAAGAACCACGGAACCCTGGAAACATGTACCAAGCAATCCTCAACAACAAAGAGGTTTCACCAGTCTTAACCCTGCTAGGACACAATCAAAACAAGGAACCTCCTCCTTACTACCAGCACAACCCCAAACCTCCCTTTCTCAAAAGAACTCTCCACCCAAACCCCCAACAACAAGAACCTCAAAGAGGAATATCTCTGGCAGAATGAGGAAGCATCAACCCTCATTGACGTACTCATATCAAACATCATCCTCACCCCAGAAAGACCCAACCCAACAACCACTTTCAAAGAGAACAAAAACAAAAACACAACAATCACAAACCACACTCACCAAACAAACCAACCTCATGCAAAAAGGGTCAGGCAGCGCGTTATTACAACAAAAAATTGTGATCAAGAAATTTGCAGGAGATTTTGTGATCATTATTATCACAATTTTTTGTGATAGGTTCTGATCTCATTATTGAAAAAAGGGTATTTGGGAATTCAATTTTTCTGAAAAAATTGAAATCAACATGGTTCCTGGTGGGCTCTCCCTTGGTCTTTCTGTCGAGTCGTTCTGTTCCATTCGTGAATGCATACGAGCAGTACAGTTCTGTAATTAGTACTTCGTAGTAGTAATTCGGCGAAGCGCCATCAGAGTCTCAGATTGTCGGTAAGTACCGTATCATACGTAATAGCAATTTCAGCATCTATTCGTGTACAACCAGTACTCGTACGAACCTCACGTACGGTACCGTATGATGTACGATCCCCTAGCGAAGAAAATGGAAAGATCGAACCCCCGATCTCGAACGCTTTCTCCATTTTATTCGAAGCCATACTGTAGCACCGTACGTCTCGTCACGAAGAGACAGAAAACACCGGAAGCAAACGCATCGCACATTGTCTCTCCCTTGGGAACGAAGAAAACGGGGGGATATCACATTGATTCAGTCAACTCCACCGAATAATTAATATGCTCGCATCGAGAGGAAGAGCAGTAATTGCACGGATCGCTCGAGTCTCGGCGGCCAGCGGCGCAGCAGCGCCATCGTCGTTGGCAGCGGCGTCCTGCCGACGTTTTGTCGCTGCCACGAACGTGGTTCTCGAAAAACACATCACAAAGGTGCCAACTATGGGAGATTCCATCACGGAGGTGAGGCGAACAATGTGTGGGGTGGATGCATTGTCTGTCACCCACGAGTCGATCGTTGGACCGATCGAGAGACTTCGGGACGAGAACTGTGATTCACGTGCGCATGTTGATTTTTTGACCGAGAAGCCTAACACCGACCTTGGGGTTTTTATTTAATGTTGCTGTATTACGAGTAGGGTACTATTGTGGAATGGGTGGCTCAGATTGGTCAAAAGGTGGAAGAGGAGGTGAGAAAATGTGAATAGAGCGGTTTTAAGTGTTGATCTCGATAAAAGCGATTTTTACGTGCGTTGTCGGCTCATTCGTATTTTTAATGGAACATATTTCTGTCAGGATATTGTAGCACTTATTGAGACGGATAAAGTCACAGTGGATATCAAAGCCACAAAGGCTGGCGTTATCGTTCAACAATTCGGTGCCATGTAAGCCATGACTACAATTTTTGTTCGGGGCGACCGTATTGTTTTGTATTCGAAATCTGCCACAAATCACTCAACATTGATGTTCCGTACAAACTGATTTTTCTCGAACGATTGCTTGCGTCCTTAAGCGATGACGAGGTGGAGGTCGGCGCCGATTTATACGAAATCGATACGGAAGCAGAAGCGACGGTAGAGGCTGCTCCCCAGTCCACCGAAGCGACACCGGCGGCTCCAGCTGCTTCGACTCCAGAGCCTGCACCAGTGGCATCGGCTCCGGCCCCGGTCCCTGCCAGTAGTGCGGTAGCACAACGCATCCCGTCCATCAAGTTTCTGGGTAAAGAAGGGTGGGCGCGTGCCCTCACCGTCGAGCCCGCATTGGTTATACCCGCATCGTATGGACGGCTCGAGTTTTCTGAGGAAGAGATGGAAGCCCTGTGGTCGGGCGGTGCGAATCTCGCACCCGAATTGAAGGAATATTCCACAGGGGCCATCTTTTCTGCGTAGCGATAATGGATGGCATTGTAGCTCAACCTTGATTTTGTCTTCTTTTGAGGAACCCCCTTCATTCGTGATTGGTTAACCGTGTGCCATGTTTTCGAAATGGTCAAAGCTAGGGGGCGAATCAAGTCATATTAACCTGGCGACCGCCACCCGTAGTTATAAATTTGATAAGTAGAAATGGTTGATAGGAGTTGTTCGATCTTTCACATGCTAGTTTGAAAAATTGAAAGTGTTAATACAGATCAGAATCATGATGATGACAACAGTATGAATGCGGTTAATGTTGTGTTGATACCACCTACTATTGTACTTTGTCACAATCCCGCTTTGATAGGTACCATATAGTGATAGCGTACAGAAATTGGAGGTCAATTGCCAGTATTGATCTATTGAAAATGGTTAGTCTGCCATTGTAATTCTACAATCCTTACTATACAAAAATGGAGTTCAAGAATGCTAAGTCAAATTTGCCTCATAAGACAAAGCCTCAAACACATGTCCTTCCTGTACAGCATGCACTACAGGGTCATCCCAAATTTGGACGTCTCTGGGAAGAACACATCAATAAAATACTCTTCTCCAGCAAACTCAAATTCATGACAACAGCTCATGACAAGTGTATTTATCAAACAACCTACAAAAATACAAAAAAATGATGACTTTCTGAAATTCATGACAACAACTCATGACAAGTTATAAACCACATACAATAATACAAAAAAAATACTCAAGTTAAGACAAGTCAACAACTTCATGATATTGTCTCCGGAAGGATCTCCTGAAGACAAGAAATTTAAAAAAAATGGATTTGCTTACTGTACATTTCTTGGTGAAATCCTTTACGCATACAATGTCTGTTGCCCCAATATTGGATTTGCTGTATCTACCATGTCCAAATTCTTGTCACACCCATCAGACATACATTTCAAAAAATTCAAAGGTGTCACTCTGTATCTTTGGCACACACAAATGTGGGGTCTGTGATGCTGCAAATCCTCCTCAGTTATTCAAGACACTGAACTATCAGATGGAAACTTTCAAGATCCAGCACCATACCATTACCAGACAATCTTCCACCATTTCCATCTCTGCCCACAAACTCAACCATCACCTATATTTGTTGCTGCATATGCAACTAAAACACCTCTCAAAGTTCCACTGAAGCAGAATTTACACTTGTGCCGCTGTCCCTGCTACAAAAATTGTCCTGTACCTCAGGTCAATTCTTGCCAAACTTGGATTCCCTCAACAACAACAACAACAACAACAACAA